ATTGTTGATTCTCTGTTTGGCTTAGTTTTTCGGATCTTTGTTGTGGAGGGACGGCGTGGTGCTTCTGCCTAGACCGCCATCTTGCTGGAGTCCCCATGCTGTTTTTTTTTAAAAAAAAAAAATCAAAAAAAGTCCAAGTACTCTATTCCTCCTTTTTAGGGAGCAGATTGGCAGGAAAGCTACAGGGCACCATGAAGATAGAAGGCAGGGAACTGGCAATCCACGCTGTGATAGAAGAGAGCTGTTGGGGATCCTGTTCAGTGGCTCTGGATTTATGGGGCAGGAAAATGGTGAGGGTTACAGAGCCAGGTAGGGAAGACTCTTTCTGTCTTTAGAAACACCCTTTCCTTGACCCTAATGATTCATCTTTCTTGTTTTTCCCTTCCCTCACAACATCTGTTGACCACTCCAAAATTCCTTGAGGATATGACTTTTTTCCTTATTTTGAAAGAGTAAATCCTAAAAAGAATATCCTGCTTTAAAACTTATTTTATTTTTCAAATAACTTTTTTGTAGTGTTCCTTTAGGGGAAAAACAAACAAGCAAGCAAGCAAAACAGATAAGTAAAAGAAATCTTTAAAAAGAGAGAAGAAACTCTCTCCCCTGTACCCTCCCATCACCAAGAGATAACCACTGTTAATATTTGAGTAAATATCCTTCCAGACTTTGTCATATGTATATTGAATATCTTTTAAGCTTTTATTTTCTTGCCAGAAGTGTAAATCTGAATCAAAGTGTCATTTCTCCATACACCCACAACAGGTATATTTATATTTTCTGTCAGCTGTTGCAGATGATGACCCAGAGCCCAAGGACAAAGGATCATTGCTAGAACAACCCTTTGCTGAGGTGGAATCACAGGTATTCCCAGAAAAACTTGCTGCTGGCACCTCCACATTTGAAGCTGCTTCTGAAGTTGAGGGTACCTTACAGCAGCAACAGGGAAACCCTGAAGGGAAGAGACTGAGGAAATCCCTTGCCCAGGGGAAAAGTTTCAGGAAGATGAGTGTCATCCGTAAGAAAACTCCCATAGGGAAGAAAGACCACGAATGTAGTGAATGTGATAAAACCTTCATTTATAATTCACATCCTACCATACACCAGAGAATTCATACTGGACAGACACCCTACAAATGTCATGAATGTGGAAAGTCCTTCAGGTGGAGTGCTTATCTTGTTCAGCATCAGAGAATTTGTTCAGGACAGAAGCCTTATGAGTATAGTGAGTGTGAGAAGGCCTTCAGTTAGGGCCCATACCTAAGTCAGCATCTGAGAATTCACAGTGGAGAGAAACCTTTTACATGTAAAGAATGTGGGAAAGCCTACAGATGGAGTTCAGCAGAGCCTATTAGACGTCAGAGAGTTCATACCAGAGAAGAGCCATCCCAGTGTAATGAAGATGAGAAAGTTTCCAGGCTGACTGTACTTTTTGTCTAATCTGTTTTAAGACTAGATCTCTTAAAAGTTATAACACCTTAAGTTTTTCTTGTGCCTTTCTTGATTTAGAAAAAGCTGCTTACCTAGTCTCACCTGTCAGTCATCACTTACTCCATGTCCTTTTATTAAGGTGGTTGTATCAGTGACTTTGTGGAGTCCCTGGGTGGCACAAACGGTTAAGCACTTGGCTACTAACCAAAAATTTGGCAATTCAAATCCACCCAGAGATGTCTCAGAAGAAAGGCCTTACAATCAATCTACTTCTGAAAGGTCACAGCCATTGAAAATCCTATGCACAGTTCTACTCTGAAACACATGGGGTCACCATAAATTGGAATCAACTCGATGACAACTGGTTTATCAATAAATGGCTATAAATAACAGCCAATCTTGATTCTTTCTAGAATGACCTTGGGCAAGATTTGAGCTGCTTGGTTTCCCCACTGATAAGATAAGGAATAGTAGTGTCCACCTCATTAGAGTTCTGGACCTGGCACAGAGCGGCTGCTCAAGCAGAGGTAGCTATTATTACTTATTATGGATGGATCTTTGGTCCTGGCCCTTTTCATACCTATAAATATCTGCCTTTAGACAGGGTCACATCTGCATGTGTGCAGGCAGGAGACAGAAATCACACTAGTAATTTGAACAGGGAAAATTTAATATAAAGAAGCATTAACTAGTAAAAGGGGATTATCTGTTAAATGAATTAAAGAGATCAGTAAAGAATATAGGAATATCAGAATGCGGGGAGTAATCAACTACCTCTAGATAGTGAGGGAGAATACCCAAGGAAGAAGCAAACTTGGAAGAGAATTCCCCCCCTTACCTCCACCAAGGCTGAAATTGAGATGTTATTGGAGAGGGTGTAACTGTTCCAATGGTATGCTGAAGCTGGCTTGTACTGGCTTACAAGGGCAAATTTTGTACATCAGCCATGGTGGGAGTATTGACACCACAGAAATAAGTAAGTGCTATAAATCATGGTTGTTAAACATTTACCAAAACCACTATGGCCCATTGGATGATGACATTCACTGAGGTGCTGCAGGCCAGGGCTGATGAGCAGGAAACCACTGGCTGGGGTGTCAGTGAAACTCACTGGAGGATGTGTGCCACTAGGTCTGCACACCACTGGCAGTTGGGCTATAGGAGTAAGAAGGAAAAAACTGACAAACCAGGAAGAGAAGCCCCTTCCTCTTTGCTTTGTCCCTCCCACACCCTCTATGGCAACTTTGTGCCAACTGGCAAAGGGGAAAATGTTTACTGGGTCCAGCTCCAGTATCATAAAGTAGTACAAAGAAGAGTGGATTTGGAGCCAAGAGGCAATAAATTGATAACTGGCCTACACTTCAAGCTTATTTACACCTCAAGACATTTATTCTTGTTCTTCATCTCACTGCCCCATACTTCCTTCCCAGGTAGTTACAAAAGTCACCCCCTTACTTCAATTGAGGTCTGTACTCAAATGTCACCTCAGAGAAGGCTTTCCATACTCTATGATACAAGTTTATCTCTTTTTCACATAAATGTCCACATAAACTACAACCTGCAGGCCAAATCCAAATCCTGCTCATGACTTGTTTCTGTGCAGCCCATAATGTAAGAATGGTTTTTACATTTTTAAAGGGATATGAAAAATGGAGAAAATAAAGAATATGTGACAGAGACTGTATGTGGCTGTTTTAGTTATCTAGTGCTGCTATAACAGAAATACCACAAGTGGATGGCTTCAACAAACAGAAATTTATTCTCTCACAGTCCAGGAGGCTAGAAGTCTGAATTCAGGGAGCCAGCTCCAGGGGAAGGCTTTCTTTCTCTGTTGGCTCTAGGGGAAGGACCTTGTCATCAATCTTCCATTGAGTCTAGGAGTTTCTCAGCTCAGGGACCCCAGTTCCAAAGGACACGCTCTGCTCCTGGCTCCTCTTGGTGGTATGCAGTCCCTTTCCACTCTGCTTGCTTCTCTCTTTTATATCTCAAAAGAGATTGACTCAAGATACAACCTAATCCTGTAGATTGTGTCCTGCCTCATTAACATAACTGCCTCTAATCCTGCCTCATTAACATCACAGAGGTTAGGATTTACAACATAGGATAATTATATCGGATCACAAAATGGAGGACAACCACACAGTACTGGGAATCATAGCCTAGCCAAGTTGACACACATTTTAGGGGGACACAATTCAATCCATAACAGTGGCTCACAAAACCTAAAATGTTTACTATCTAGCCTGAAAGTTTGCCAAACCCTGGTCTAGGGGGCAGCTCAGTTTCACCAGATCTTTCTGGAACCCATATAACATCCATTTTATTGCTGTTTTGTGTCCTAGGTCAGGATGCTGTCTGCATGGTTGAAGCTGCACTATTACTAGATCCATATTCCAGCTCCTGGAAAAGGGAAATAATAGTCACGGGGACAATTTCCTTTTCAGGAAGCGTCACGGAAGGTGCCCCCATCCTTTGGTGACAACTCAGTCACATGGCCACATTTATCTTCGAGGGAGGCTGAAAAACATCTCTAGGTTGATGACCATCTGCCCAATTATGGAGAAAGGGAGAACAGATTTAAGGAGGCAATGAGTAGTCCACCCTAAAAAACAACTCCCCACTTCTTCAACCCAATGCGACTAGTTGACCAGGGAACGAGTCATGTTCCCAGAAGGACAGAGCAGGATCCTGGGAAGGAGAGGATGGGGACCTAAGGTCAAGGGTATGGATTAGGACTCTAGCTTTGGTGGTGGACACACCAGAAATAGCCATCACTCTCTCTACAATATCTTGTATTAGGTCTCTGAAGAGCTAAAACCATAAAATATTTTATAAGCAAAATATTGACCTGAAACTATCTTTTTTGCCTTTGTTAGTTCAAAAGAAACTTCTGGGGAAGGGGACGGAGAGGGGATCACTTTCTAGATAGTAGACACTTTTTATTTTTGGTGATGGGAAAGGCAATACCAAATATGGGTGAAGTCTACACAACTTGACCAAAGTAAAGAAGTATGCAAGAATAAGGGACGATTTTGGTAAATATTATAACACATCCAATTTTGCAATGACAGTAATAACAGCCAAAAAATAGGTAGCTATGTATGCATATATGTGTATAGGAAGGCATATGTGAGTAAATGCACGTGCATATATAGGTGTATCTGTAGGCATGTGTATATACACGTTTGTGTGTGCTGCATATATATCCATATATATATAACAAAGCACATAGAGGGCACAGTTACAGAGGCTTCCTAGACATATCCAAACAACTTGTGGGATTGGTTTACTGGGGTAAAAGTCTTAGGACCATAGTCTCATGGGACAACTTAGTCAGCTGGCAGAGTTCATAAAGATAATGTTCTATGTCCTAGTTTGGTGATTAGCCTCTGGGGTCTTAAAAGCTTGTGAGCGGCCATCTAAGATACAACTACTGGTCTCTACTCGTATGAAGGAAAAGAAAATGAAGGAAATCAAAGGCTAAAAGAAGAAGTAGGACTAATAGCCCACATGAACCATGGTCTCTTCTAATCTGAGACCAGAAGAACTAGATGGTGCCCTACTACCACTACCAACCATTCTAACGGTAGTGGCAGGGACACAACAGAAGGTCCTGGGTAGAATGGAGAAAAATGTAGAACAAAATTCAAATTCCTAAAAAAGGCCAGACCTAATGGATTGATGGAGACTAGAGGAACACCTGAGACTATTGCCCTAAGATACCCTTTGAACTTAGAATTGAAGCAATTTCTGGAGGTCACCTTTCAGTCAAATAATAGATTGGCTTATAAAATAAACAGTATCACTTGTGAGTAATGTGCTCCCTTAAACAATCAACTATATGAGACAAAACGGTCAACATTTACCCGAAAGCAAAGATGAGAAGGCAAGGAGGGGAAAGGAAGCTAGATCAATGGAAACAGAACAAACAGAATGGAAATAACGAGAATGCTGACACATTGTGAAAATTGTAACCAATGGCATGGAACAATTTGTATAAAAATTGTTAAATGGGAACCTAATTTGCTGTATAAACTTTCACTTAAAACACAATACTATTTAAAAACAAAACGAAAAAGAATCTCCCAACCACAGATGTTCTGAGTGCTCAGTTTTATTATGTGACAGAAATGAGTTCCTTATCCTTGAAGGGGGCCTGAGACATAATGTGCTATACTTGTAATCTTTACCTATTTCTCGGTATAAAAGTGCCTTGCTCACGTGTACATTTGGGAAATCACTGTCTGCAGGAGATTTCCCCCAGCTGTGCAGCTGAATAAAAAACAGAGGAGCTTAGACCTGCTAACAAGGGTATGGCCTTTTATCCACAGCAGGAGACAAAGGAAGAAACAGAGCGTTCCTAGTTTCAGGAAGCTTATGGTCAACGTAAGGATGCCATAAAAACACCCTTAATGGAGATTTTCACAACAGAGACTATACTGGATATAAGTGACCTGGTCTGGAGGAAGTGGGTACCAGATGTTCTGAGGGCAGACACCACCTGTGTTGGTCAGAAATTCGGACAAAAGATCCTCCTCTAACAGGTACAGACCATCTTGTTTATTCAGCTACATATCTGAGGAAAGTTCTCCTATCAGAGGGAAATGCAAAAATGCACATGCGAGCAAGACATTTTTATACCCACAGAGAGAGAAAAGGATTACATTCATGGAAACTTCAATCAATTCCTGGACCCCTCTTCAGGGATTATGAGCCATTTAATATAATGAAATTAAAGTCAGGGAATAATTGCAGTTAGAACAGTTTCATTTACAAGATCTTATAGTTTCAGCTCAGTACTTTTCCATGGCATTTGTTTCTTTGGCTTCACCAAAAAATCTTAGAAGTAGGGAGGGGGCAAGAATCCCTGCCTGGAATGAAGATGTGGGCTATTAGAGGAAGCTGCTAATAAAGGACCCTGCAGGCTGAGCCAAGGAGTTTGGGCATTTGATATAGTACGAGCCTCTCCCTGTCCCATCTTTCTGCATCAGGCTTCTCTTGCACCATGG